CTGATGGTCCGGCGACTGGGTTCATGAGCATAAACCATTCCAGTGCTGTATGATCTACATGGGAGATTCCTGCGGACCCGCGTCATCACATCGAATCACGCGAATATCATACCAGATTTTCATTATCACACATACTGTTTGTTTCTCAGCACTGTTTAGCCTAAGCTGTAGCAAAGCCCATCATGGCTCATGGGCAGATCGAATTGGCCCTCCAGCTCCTAAATCCAGGATCAGTGGCGACACAAGACCTGGAAAGCAGACACGGCATCGAAAACTAGAAAATCTATGGTAAAGCTATCCTTGGCTGCGGCCCGCCGCTATTTTCGTCGCGTAAGTAGGTGTATACGATCGTTTTTGGAGCACCAGGGTGCAAATGAGACACACTCAGGCAGAAGTAATATAGCTTCTGGCCGGATCAGTATAGTTAGCGAACTCAGCCATTTCTTTGGTCGATAGTCGCATTCTATCTTCAAGAAGAAGCATCATCACGCAGCGACCATTAGAAGTTGGGAAGCTGGCGTCGTCTTAAGCCAGGCTGAGGCAGGGCTTAAGCCTGCAGCCAACATAGCGGGTTGTTGCGCATTACGCAGGGGAAGCAAGACAATCAGGGCACAATGCAAGTAAGAACGCCATTAGTGAGACGCCTCTAGACTTCGGAGCTGGCTCCAGAAGTCGCCTCACCCGTAAAGCTCTCACCGCAACTTTGAGCTTCGGCTGGTCCCGTGTACTGGATACACTAAAGTGGAAGCTATACATGTGCGTACGTACGATCGTCAGTGAATTGGAGAGGGCGACGATATTCTGCCAAAGTCTTCGTTTGCGCCAGTTATCGAGTAGGTGGTATATGTCTGTTAGCAGTGATACAAGATACTTTGGTTGCACGGCGACACTCTGACTTTGCCAGTCATTTCTAGACAGTTTACGGGTTAATGTGAGCAAGGTGAGGTCGCAATATTCTCATACAGTGCCAGTGTAGGACGAATACAGCTTAGTGAGGCGCTGCTGATCTACCACCGAGACATAAACCCCCGCTTCAGGGCAGTTTCAGCCTCCTTGACGGCCACCCAGATCCCAGGTTGCACAGGCCCGAGCGGCGCATCTCGTCCTAGGCTTTGGATGACTTCGGACACTCTTATGGACTGATCCAGGTGATGGTGCACGCTCAATCTTGCGTTGGGCAAGACATGGGCGGGCTGCGTGATCCAATGGCCGCTACTCTGCGCAGCAAACGATCTGTGAAAGCTGTGCGAGTGCTGCGGAGGACAGGAGGTTGCATGAAAGGCTTTTTCCAACATGCTGCGTGGCCCTTGACGCCAATCCATGGTAGCCCGACCGGCTAACGGTATGCCGTCGAGAACAATTCATGGGCAGTGCAGTAGCAGGTCGTTTTTCCTTCTTCCTTTCCAGTGGGGGTTGGAGGATCTCGATTGTTGCTCACAGTGTCTCACTTCACTCACCACCGAAAGCTCCGGTGCAGTTCTTGTCTTTTCTTTTCTTCCATGCACGCCACCTCAACGAGGACTCAATACCCATTTTCCAACATGGCGATCTAGACAATCGAGGTTATTGCTTCCTTGACTTTCTTTTCTTCGGTTCACCCTTTTCTTGCTACTCCATTTAATTCTAAGCAGTCCCTGGCTGGTTCCGGCTGGCTTCTATTCGTGTCCGTTTTTTGTTCAACCGTTGATCGGCCTGACACCCTGCTGGCACAGCAACAACTTTCCTTGAGGATAACGAGGTTCTATCGAGAGAGATATTTGAGACCACGGCCATGGATGGCAAGTTGTTGGATGTTGATTTTGGCGCAGAAAAAGAGATGGAGCTAGAGCTTTCCGATCCTACGCCAGTGAAGAGACGGATGTCATTGGTGGTGCCGCCGTCTCCCATTGCGAAGGATGATGAGAAGGAGGGCGAAGAACCAAAAAAGCCACCACCGATCTTGGTGCCGCCACCAAAACGGACAGCTACGGTGGCTGTGGTGCCAATGAGATCGAAAGCCCCCCCTTCGATATCAGAGACAGACAGTCAGAGACCAATGACGAGTTCGTCCAAGAGGCTATCATGGAGCTCCATCTCAACGAGCAAACGGCGGCCCATCAAGTATGGTAGTGGGAAATATGCCATGACGGAGCTGGTACCACAACCAAGCGATGATCCGGAAGACCCTCTGGTATGTTTTCTGTCGACCCCTATGTCTGCCCGTCTCTGTGGGACTAGTAGTTGATATGCCTCCTAGAACTGGCCAACGTGGAAGAAAGAGCTCAACTTTTATGCGCTTATCATCACTGTAGCCTTGGTAGGGGTGATGAAGAGTGTTTTTGTCAGCGTTAACAGCTCTCTGGCCATCAATTACTCTGTGTCGTACACGGCAGTGACCGCATTGACTGGTGTTCCTTTGATTGTCTCTGCTTTCACTGGCCTCGCGAGCTTGACTGCCGCCAGAATCTTCGGTCGAAGACCAGTGTATTTGATCTCCATGGTATCGATTTTTATCGGCGCGATGTGGAATATGCGTGTCGCAGAAAGCTATTCTCAGTGTATGGCCGCGAGGGTCTTCCAAGGCATTGGCTGGGGTGCCTTTGATACACTAGTGTTGGGCTCGATTCACGAAACTTTCTTCGTAAGTTGTGGCTTCAAGACCTTGAAATATCTCTGTTCGTTTTCTGACAAAAGCCCAGGAACATGAGCGTAATGTGAAGATTGCAATTTTTCACATTGTCACGATTGCGACAACTTGGGGTGGCCCTCTTTTGGGAGGAGCTGTGTCCCAGAATCGCATAGGCTTCAGCCTCCAATTCGAGATCATCAACAGCTTTCAGGCAATCTCGGTCTTGCTCCTCATTTTTGGTGCGCCGGAAACCATGTTCGACCGCTCAATGAGCATCTTGCAGACACCTGCAACAAGCTACTCGGCAAAGCATATGCCCATGCTCCCGCGGGGAGGCATTACCTGGCAAAGCATCCAAGAATACGTCAAGACAGCCGCCAAGCCTTACACATACTCTGCTTCAGCGCTCGATATCTCACCACTCTTGCAAGCGTGTCGTGCAATGATCGCGCCAACCACTCTCATGCTATTTGTCGTTTCCTTCCTACCCTTCTGCGCGCTGTGGGGTCTATCAAGCTCTCTCTCCCTCCTCTTTTCGCCCATGCCTTTTGTTCTTCGGCCCGCTTCTATCGGAGCTTTGATGGCCGGGCCGTTCGTTCTTTCAACCGCATCGGCTGCCGCATTTGCTCTATGGTCACGCTGGCATAAGGCGTTTGTACCGAAGCATAATGTCGCCGCCATAGCCGCTGGTTCGATAACCGCCTTTGTCGGGCTGCTGACCTTTGGTCTGTATATTGACAAGTGCATGAGCATGCCACAAAATGCCAGCGCAACGGCATGGACCATCGATGGTGCAGCTTCTAAGAGCTTGCATTTTCCCGTCGTTAGCTTCGTGCTCGGCTTGCTCGCGGCCGGCGTCTACATGCTAGATGCAACTGTCCGACCTATGATCAAGCGGTCGACACAGTTTACATCGTCGAATCTCGCGGTTGCTCTGCGCAATACGGCGGATATGGACGCAGCAGTTGGCATTTGGCGAAGCCTCTCAGCAGGTGTCTTCGTCATTGCGCTCCCCAATGCAGTGTGGTTCTGGGACGGCCTGAAAAGTGCTAGTATCGGCATTTCTGTAGCGTATCTTATTACTGGAGGGGCCGTCGCGGCCGCTTGGTTATTTTGGGACGAGAATCTTAGAAGACTAGATGGAAGGGTCATGGGCTGTGTGGATCTTGCGCTCCTGAAGAGAACCGGAAGCTTCTTCGATGTAGATTGAATGCCTGTATGTTGAGGAGCTTCATGTTAATATGCAGCACCTGATAGACTCAGTCTGAAAATGAAGAAGACAATGCCTCGATTATTGTGGACAAAGCGGGTTTGGCGATGATAAATAGTCTTGTTCCAAGCCTGCACCTAAGACTAAGAATCTCAATAACAAATAATACTGCAATGGATCAATCGAACTCGACGGCTGAATATATCGGACTTGTCGACGCCGTTCAGCCTGCCCGAGACCTGTCACAAGGAAGCGGCGGGTAAATTGCAGACGGGAGCGGACAGCAATCCCCCGCGAATTCCTAGGATGTGATTCCATCTGATGCTTCTAGAAGTCTAGCTGCGAAAACTTGATTTATCGTGTATGGTGATGGTACGGCTAAGGCTCTTCACATTGATCGTCGACATGCTGTGTCCCGTGTTTGATCGCCTTTCTTCAGGCTGCTCGATTGCCTGCATAATTGACAGCCAGTAACAACGTTCCCCTTCGATATTTATTAGGCCTCTTGTCTGAAATACAATTGCACGAGCAGTCAAGCAAAAGCCACACCTAGAACAGAGTCTCATGAGCCCCCGCAGGAGCCAGACATGGCATTCTTTTCGCCCATCGTTCCCCGCATTCTTCTGGAAATAGTTCTCTTGTTCATTTTGCGGGGTAACCCAGGGCACATTTGGGGAATCTGTGGAGAGACTTACCACCGGTTGGTGGGTGATTTCTGCCGGACATGATGTTTGATAATCCATCAATAGGATTTCGAGAACCCTCTCTGCCAAGGCCTGTAGATGAACAACGAACATCATTTCAGCATACGTTCCCCAGCCTTTCCCAAACACGGTCCTGACCGCTGTAAACATTTGACGAAGCGCGAACTGTGCATTCATCCAAAATGAAGTCAGCATGCAGTCCAGCTCTGCACTCCACCTCTGTTGATAGGCGGATCTCTTGCCGCCAAGTCCCCGTCGCCAAGCCGTTGAAGTCTGCGACCAGGTTCCTTGGGGAAGACATTCCCGAGTCTTGGGTACGGATGCTGCAATGTAACGGCGGTCCTGGTCCATCTTCATTTCGGAGGGCAGGTTTGGGTAGCTATATATAAGATCTCCGCGCGACTTGAGATGACGACTCCAACCGCCCTCGTCACCTCACCCGACTCGTCCCATCTGGCCAATTGTCTAGCTTGTCAATATGAGGCTGTCAGCTGTCGCGATCCTCCTTTCGGCTGTGGTCGCTGTGACAGCCATTGAACTTCCTGCCGGCGTGCCTCGCTCGCCCGCGGAGTTCAGAGAGAAGCACCCATACCAGCCGCGCAAGGTCTGTACCAGGAAGACAATCAAGATTCGACCAAGCGCCAATGACACGGATGATGTGTCTGACGAGTTCCTGCAAGGACTCAAAGAGGCCAACAACGGCGGCACTGTTTACCTCGCAAAAGGCAAAACTTTCATGATTGGCAAGCCCCTGGACTTGACCTTCCTGAATGACGTTCACGTGAGACTCGACGGCGAGCTCAAGTTTACCAATGATACCTCATACTGGCAGGCGAATGCTTACCGCCATCCATTCCAGAACAGTATCATGTTCTGGAAGTGGGGCGGCACTGACGTGAAGATCTACGGCAACGGCGTGCTCAATGGCAACGGTCAACGATGGTGGAATGAGTTCGCGGGTCTGGAAATTTTAGACCCAAGCAACACGTACTTGCGGCCGATTCTATTCTACGCCGAGAACGCAACCAACCTAGACATCGAGGGTATCCATTTCAAGGATTCTCCTTGCTGGACCAACTTCTTCGTTACCTGTCAGTGACCATTTACCTACCTGATAAGCAACCAGAGATGCTGATCAAGACACAGCGAAGGGCATCACTTTGCGCGACGTGATGTGCACTGCTGAATCGAACAACGCAACTGCACTGCCAAAGAACACGGATTTCTTCGACTCACTCAATGTTGAGGACGTCACGGTGGAACGTGCGTGGGTTAACATTGGTGATGACTGCTTTTCACCAAAGTCTAATGCTACAAACCTCTATGTCAATACAATGTACTGCAATGGCAAGTCGTTCCTCCGGATGAGCAACTCTGGCCGTCACTAAACAAAGTTGTACAGGCACTCATGGTCAGTCAATGGGATCCATTGGCCAATATGGCGGCGAGAAGAGTTTCATTCGGGATGTCCACATTGAGAACATGTGGATGCTGAACGGCCAGCATGGTGCGCGTCTCAAGACCTGGGCTGGTCAGAACGTCGGCTATGGTTTCATCGACAACGTCACATTCAAGAACTTCTGGAACGCAGACAACGAGTACACCGCATTCCTTGACTCCTGCTACTTCAATGTACGTTTCATGTTGCCTACTTATCTTCAGTACAACTTCTGTCGCTAATCCTCAGTAGATCAACGCAACCACCTGCGCGGCTTACCCATCGCAGGTCAACATCACCAATGTTCTGTTTGAGAACTTCACTGGATACACCTCGGGCAAGTATGGTCGTGCCGTCGCATCTTTGACCTGCAGCTCCAACCCGAATGCTGTTTGCGAGAATATCAAATTCAAGGACTTCAATGTCACTTCTCCATGTGGCGGGCCACCAGTCATAATATGCGACAACATTAAAGGAGGCATTGGGATGCCATGTGTCAACTCGACGAGCGCTGAAGCGAAGGCTGCGCTGGCTGATAAATGCACAGTACCGCTGGCCGTGCTTCCAACACCGACTCCATGGTAAACTCTTGTACGGAGTGGGGTCAGCCATAAAGCCTCCCATATCGGCAACGGTGACCGGTCATGATGAAGATGGATATGCTTCTTGACGACATGTAAATACTAGTAATTATAAAGCAAACACATGACATGAGCATACAAGTTTTGTTCATCAGAAAGTTTTGTCAATTGTCACGTACATTCTCAGCAGGTATCTCCTATCAATGATCCTAATGCTTCACTTCACTTCGCAGCCGGGTGTCCTTTTCCAACCAAACATCAAGCCTTTGCCCACGCAAAGTCCACACTGACAGTGAAACGCAATACTTTACAGAGCTGCAACGACACCCAAGAAACCAGCAGCAACAACGGCCGCAGCTGCAAACCCAGTCTCACGGGGTCCTGCATTAGGGGAGACGGAAGAGGATCCGCTTGCAGCGGAGCTCGACGCACTACTTCCAGCATCGGTCGCCGTGGCGCTTGTAGATGCAACGGTCCCAGTGCCACCTGTCGTACCACTGCCTCCGCTTGAAGCTGTTGCACAGGCGTCTGAAATATCATCCGTTTCAGTAGCATAGGCACTATACTGTGGGCATTCGCTCAAGGCGCTATCGATCTCGGAGCTGTGAGCAGAGTAGAAACTCTCGATTTCGTCTTCATAGCTGGAGAAGGCGGATTCAACTGGGAAGATAATGGTTAGCAAAGGTTTCTCGCAAGACCGAAGCAAAGACTGCCATAGGAACACAACGGGGATAGGGGAATTCAAAGGTCATGGAATGAAGTAGCGGCTTGGATATAGCTCGAACACTGATAGGGGAATCTTAGAATTGGTTTTTACTTACGTGACTTCGGGATGGAGAAGGAGCAAGGGTCTGTGATCGACACAGTCGCCTCGTAAGACAAGAGCTCTGGAGGAGGCGTGGGCACGGCGCTATAGATCGACATGAGTGCGGTCAAGCACGTATCGGCACCGGAGGGTAGAGCTGTTTCGGTCTGGCGGGCGAGAAGCTCACGCTTCATGGCATTAGGCCCGGGGCGGACGAGGCCATTGGCCGAGACGGTTACCGCAAGAGCGGCAAGGATGAAGGTCTTTGAAAACATCTTAACTTATACTTGATTTAAAGTGTGTGTTCTTTTGGAACAGTGATAACAGTTGGTTTGGCAATCTCAGGAGATCATACGAAGCACCTTGGAGAGGGAGGAGAATCTGTTCAAGGAGAGCCCAGGGGCTTAATAAATAATGCGTCAATGGATTAGCAGCGTCTCCATGGTTCACGCTAGCAAGCTGCTTCGTCTGTGCTGTTAAGTCCCGCTTCCTCATCTTCAGCTCTCGAGAACGCAAACACCGACTCAGAACTTCCTTCGTTTTTCGTAGGCCTCCATAGGCCCATAATGCGCCACATGTTAGCCGTCTCATCTCCTACCCAGCAACCCATCCCAGCGATGCCAGAAGCAGTATGGCGCCAAGACGTTGATAGGTCAAAGGGGTGGATGGTGTGGAATGAGAACCAGAGCTTCTGAGAGCTGGAGACATTGGCAAGCCACGCTGAAGATGCCCTCGCCGTCTAGGGAGGAAATGGGGTGTGGGAGAGGGCGGCAAGTCCAGGGTTGCCTGGCAATGGACATCGCATCTGGTTTCTTTTGCCTTTAAGCTTCAATCTTAGTGCATATTGGCTGAGGAGAGAAGTGGAATGTAAGATTACCATGGCTCTGGGGAGCATTTTAGTTTAAGCTCGGGATTTAAGTTAGAACGGCGTGGGCGCTTGTGGCCTTTGTGGCTGGATACATTACATTTCACAGAGGGGAAGCACCGTGAGCAACTTCTTCTTCGCTCCTTTGCAAATTGATCAGACAGAAAAGGAGCAAGGCTACTGAATTCTTTGATTCAAGTACACGATAGTTATCGATCCATCAGGCCTCCCACCTGCTAGCTACCATTACTATGTGTATGCTCCAAGTAGCCAGTGTCAAATGCAAGGGCGAAAGCTTAGCCTGCTGTGCCACCAGGCCTGGTCGCTACTCCGACGAGATATAATTGGCCATTCGCTTAATGCACAGTTTGCTAAACTCTAAGAAAATTAGCTAGCGTCTTGGGCTGAGTCCGACACTCTGCGCTCCCATTAAACCCTGAAAGCCAAGGCTGAATCGAAGAACTACCACAGGAATGCGGACGGCACGGCAACGTTGATATCGGCCAGTCCAGGCTGCCTTGTGGGGTGTCCAAGTTGCCGACGTTACGTGCATGATCAACGTTGGAAAGTGAGGGGCAGCAACCTATTGTCAAAAAGTTTGGCACCTGGAGGGTTGTCAGGTAGAATGGATGATTGGCTTTGAATCCCGGTCTTCTATTTCGTGCAGCTCGTATCATTCCTATCACTTACGCATATTGGAGTGAACGTTTACTCATGGAGGACTGTTGAAGCTTGAATGTGAGACAAGAATCTGATTTGCCCACGACTCCACGTGGAATCAGCTTCTCTGCGTGTAGCAGAGACAATATAGGCAAGACTCGGCGAGAGACTATCAAAACCACGAGATAACCTTACAGCATATTCGTCCGCAGGTGGTCATCGGTGGTAGACTGCTCATCAATTCGAAAAGTTTATGATTGTATCATCCAACAAACTGACCTGCATGACATAACTCTACTGTGCTGATCCTCTTTCCCTTGTCGCGTAAGAGCCGTACTTAGACATCCCAAGACTACCTTCGGACTGTTTTGCCTTGTTTATCTATGTATGTCGTAGAAATTTACAGGACTTTAAGATTGAGGGTAGTTCATATAATAACCAGTCCTTCGAGCTCTTGGTGGCCATATTTGTTAAACCTAGTGACAACACTTCAACAACTGTTCAGATGATCACATCCTATAATATTCGTCTTTCGATTGACACGACATTCTCAATCTCGTGGAAGTACTACTTCTGCGGAGGCACTGTAAATAACATAATGTCCTGTTCATATTCAAACAATAACTAGCTTTTGTAGTGCGCAATGGTGCCGATGGTTGAATTATGAGCAAATACCGATTTCACAACTTACTGTCCTTCCACACTGGCTTCCTTCTCTCAACGAAGCTCCTCACACCCTCCTTCATGTTCTCGCCTGCATCCATTCGCCCATAGATACCTCGCTCAATGATATCCGTACCCAGCTCAGGCCCGATTGGTTCCCACCCGAGCCGCAATCCCTCCTTCGACGCGATCACAGCGTCAGGGCTGTTTGCTGCAACAGCGTCCGCCAACTTGATAGCCTCCTGAAGAAATTCGTCTTGCCCTTTCTCCACCACTATGTTCACAAGTCCCCATTCGCGCATCTCGGCGGCGGTGTACATTCTACCGACGAGAGCCATCTCGCTGGCCCGTTGTCTGCCCGCTGTTCTAATCAGGCGAGGTAGTGCGCCCGCTAATGCGATCACGCCGCGGGTAACCTCTGGCAGTCCGAATTTGGCTTCGGCTGAAGCAATGATAAGATCACAGTTGATGGCAATCTCCATGCCACCGCCAAGACATAAGCCGTTCACAGCGGCGATGATGGGCTTCTTTCCGGCGCGATTGGACAGCCCGCCGAAGCCGGAAGCCATCCAGCGCTCACTCTTGGCGGCTCTTTCTTGATCCTGCTGTTGTGGTGAAGAGGCGTTGTGTCGCTCATTCCACTCCTTGAGATCTGCACCGGCGCAGAAAGCACGGCCCGAACCGGTCAGCACAGCACATCTCAGGGATGGCTCGCTGTCATACCAACGCCAGAGGGCGTCGAAGCGAGAGTGCAAGGAAGAGGGAATTGCATTCAGCTGCTTGGGCCGATTGAGCGTGACGAGTAGAACATGCGGTGATGGAAAGCTTATGATGGCATTGGGAACATCAGGGGGAGGAATGATGAATGGGTTCGACATATTGCGTAGCCCTAGTTTGCGGGCCTCTGATCGTCGCTTCGGCTCTTGATTGCCTTGGTGTATCAACACGTATTATTTGAATTATGACGCAGAAACGCTCATTAGCTGGCTCGGGTAGTATATCTAAAAGCCTACTTTCACTGACGGATGTATAAAGATGTTAAATGAAGAAGTTGTTGATATCTGGAAGAAATTCCATCGAGCACAGATATGAGATCAGCAGCGCTCGACGAAATGCCTCGGCTTAAAACGCGGGCGGCACTGCGGCGGCATCTCCGCATCGACAACCCCACGGTAGGTGGAGTTACCCCAGATAACGAGACGTTCGGCAACCTATTCTTATCCTGCAATCTTGGTTACGCTCGTTGTGATATCCATGGCAAACGATATTAATAGTACTACATCGTTTTAATAACGGAGGAAATTCAACTACTGTTGTACAGCCTTTCGTCTATGAACAATTGATGCTACACGACGAAGCCAGACCCGCAAAAGAGTCTTGATTGTCTACTTCGACTTACACTGACTGGTACATGTAATAGCCATAGACAGCTCATGTCAAAAGCGGCCAGGCCCAAGGTGCCGGGCTAATATGAGTATTTCCTGGCCCTGCCTCGTAACTATGTAACTCAAGAGATGATCAACTTAGCGGAATTTTTGCCTGGTATTTTATTTAGGCCGGCAAGCCTCGCTTTTCGCTTTCGGTGAAGAAGATGACCATCCGCCAGAGCTTCTTGACCAAGTCTTCTGCGTCTTCCTCTAGTGGTCCTTCCAATTCGTCTGCCAAGTCGCTTGGCTTGCCGTGCTTGCGCAGGTGATCGTCCACCACTTCCACGAGAAATTGATCTTGCACGCCGAGATACTCGAGGACCTTCTTTTCAACAAAGGGCCGCAACTTCTCCGTGATGATCGAGTCGTCCATGAACTCCCATTTGACGTCCCAGGCCCATAAGCCGTCTTTGTCCACTGGGATTTCTTGTGCAAGCGACCGAACAGCTTTCTGTATCTCCTCCTCTGACATCATCTTAGCGTCTGTTGTAGGTTCGAATTTGATGGGGATCAGCTGTCGTCTTGTGGTCTGCTCCTGCTCTTCATCATCTAGCAGGCCTTCTACCTCTGCAACAGTTCTCCTCTGCGGCGCTGCACGCTGCGCTTGGGCCTTCTGGGCTGCAGCACCAAATGAAATGGTAAAGCGTTGAGGAGCAGCAGAGGAAGTCGTAGAAGCAGCAATTGCAGGCTGCCTTTGCTCCATCTCCTGTGCCTGTTTGCTCAGGAATGAATCGGCCATATCGCGCGCTTGCTCCATCTCAACTTCTTGTCGGCGGCGTTCATCCTCTTCTGCCCGACGATCTGCCTCATCACGAGCTTCCTCCTCGGCACGCTCCTGGGCTCGTTTCCGGGCCCATGCGGCATGATCACGGTAGTACATGTGAGCTTTGCGTGTAGATTCCTTCTCGTCGTCCCAGTTCTTCTCTCGCTCGAACTGTTCTTCCTGGCGCCGTGACACGCCTTCCTCCTCTGCCCTATCACGATCTCTCTCTCGATCTAGAGCAGCAGCTCGTTGCCGTTCTCGGTTGACCCATTTTCGTTCCGCCTCGAGATATTGCTTATCCTCCTCCGCTCGTTGCTTAGACTGCTCTCGCTGGTAAAGTTCATCGTCGCTCGCATCGCTGCCATCATCATCACGGCCTTGCATATCGCCATTGACAGTTCCACCATTGACAAAAGCTACACCGCGATTTGTCGAGCCCTGCCCTCTAGGGCCAGAGGGTGCATTTGGTACACCACGGGGACCGAGTGGTACCGCATTCGCGTTCGCACCAGGTGGCGGCGAGTCAAGTCGTGACAGTCGTGAGGCACCATTTCTTTGGCGCTCCATCTCCTCGAGTTCTTCCTCCCTCTTCAGACGCTCCATGTCTCGGCGATTACTCCGTTCTCGGAAAGCCGCGATCTCCTGAGCGACCACCTCTCGCATTTCTGCGGGAATATCTGCGAGTTCGTCATCCTGTGCCAAGGGTATGTTGATCACCTCAACATTTTCTGCCAGGCTAGAACCATCCCCCATTGCCACGTCGCCATCACCATCCTGGCCGTTGCGTAAACGAGGATAAAAAAGATCATGGATTGTTTGCTTTAGAGTTGTTCGTGCGAACTCCAATTGCGTCTCGTTTCTGGCATCATCACCTTTGCTCTCCTGATATGATTCAAGATATTTTAGAGTGCTGTCGTCGACACTGATCTGGAGTTTGACCTTCTGAATGCCATCATAAGGATCCCCTTCTTTATCTTCCTTGCTCGCACCATCTGTGGGGTCTTGCTTCTTGAGAGGGAGTTCAATATCTCTCAGTAGCTCAACAGCTGTGGCAAGAGATTCCGGATCCTCAAATTGAGCAAAGCCGAATAGCTCACCTTTATGATCTGACAATTGCGACTTGGCAGAATCCCAGCGCCGTAGCCTACCCACAACATTGAGAAACCTCTCGACGCCGTTGTCTCCGCCTAAGCTCTCAGGAACCTTGTGGATAAAGATGGTACGGAGGCGCTCTTCGTTCGTTGGCGGTACTAAAGCTTGCATACTCTCCCTCACAGCAGCGCGGGACTGTTCAAGACCTCGATCTAGCCCTAGACCCGGTCTACCACTGCCCGCTGAGAGAGGTGCCTCGGAATCTCTGCGCCCGGGAAGCGATGGTGTGCCGGGCTTCGCCGGGATTGACCCAGCGCCGAGGCGGATCACGGGGGCATTGAAGTTGATGTTGGGCAAGTTCGGCGGCGGCTGAAAGGAGGCGGGCAGTCCGCTTGGTCGATTAGCTTGAGCGGCAGAATTGGCGTGCTGGACACCTGGTGGAGGCGCCATCCCAGGGGCGGAAGACATGCCTGGAGGAGGACCTTGCGAAGGGGTTAGCGGAGTGGAAGAATCCGGCAGAGAGAAGGGGAGCATACCTAAGCCCGGAGGAGGCGCCATGCCCGGCGCGGCGCCCGAGCCCGGAAAGGCTCCAAACGTCGGCGGAGGTCCATATGGAGGTCCTACAGATGCGGGAGTCAGTATTGTCTCAATGACGGGCTGGTGTTTATGGTGAAAGGGCGCAAGGCTGAGCTTTACCTCCATAGGGATTGTAGGCCATGTTGACAATGTCCTTTGCGCCAACCAAAATTCCTCAAGAGGTAAGTTTCTCCAGCACGGACCAAAAGGTGAAGTCAAAGAATGGCACGTCTCTGACACTGATCATATGTGGATGAACAGGTCTCTCTTGCTGAAAGGTGGAAGTTGGTGGGAAACTTGCACTGAGGTTCGTCGCTGGACAAACTTTCATGTAGCAGCTAAAGTCGCTAAACTGATCGCCGATTGGGGGTGTAGCTTCCACCTAGAACGGATTTTTATTTCTCCGATCACCAAAAATTCCCGATTCCCAAACGTCTGTTTGAGCTGTGTCGTATGGTCTGCTCTCTATTGGCGCTCTATTTCTACTGTAAAAGACATCACAGCGGCCATATTTGGCCAATTGGGGTGCACAGGTGAGTTCCCTAAGCACTTCGGTCCCTGCGCCAGTCCGTTGTGTCTTATGATCACATTACTGACAGATTTGATCGCCCAGATGGAGGTCCGACAAGCTATGCATCACGTCCTCCGCGCCGGAGCGGCACCCTCACAACGTTTGGTGACCCGGGCTGCACCAAGCTGGAGTCCTCGATTCGCACCCAACCGTCTCGCAGGAGGCATGCCTATCCGATCAATCTCTACGAGCCATGTCATGCTGGCAGACAAACCATCAACGAGACCAACCCGTACGACGCCGTTCACTTTTGGCGCGAGTTCATCCTCTTCATCCACAAAGCCCAGCACCAAGCCATCAGATTCCTCAAGCGTACCAAAACGCTGGACCGCCCCCCAACCGACCACTACGGCACAGCCAAAGCCATCTCTCCCTAGCGATCTATCGCCGTTCGGTGACTTTGAAGACCCTATGGATCTGGCCCGTGAGATTGGTCGTGAAACCGACGACTGGCTAGAGAAACACATGCCCAAGCGCCCTCCGCCGCCTGATCTGCGCCTACGCCCATCAACAGGCCGCACGATACACGTTCAGGGTCACGTTGACGTCGCGCGCTCACTACAGCTACTGCAGATGTTAGTGCGCCGGAACAAGTTGCAACACACTGTAAATCAGCAGCGCTTTCACGAGCGTCCTGGATTGAAGAGGAAGAGGCTTCGACGAGAGAGGTGGCGAGCAAGGTTCAAGGAGGGATTCAAGGCAACGATTAAGAGAGTGAAAGATTTGTCCAAACAAGGGTGGTAGGTAAGTGGGCTTTGGTCGAGCCTGCTACATGTATAATAAGCCATGTCATGTCTATCATGTAAATTATAGAATACAGACTAGCCAGGTCACTGTGGTGAATACGTGGCAGAAGAAAGTACTCTTCAAATAAATCCAAGGAACAAGTGTATCCAAGTAACTTGTGCAGCCTGACGCCGCATGCCTTGTGAATCAATTCCAGCCCTTTACGGGAGTGCTGACTGGACTCGTCTTGATCTTCGGCCGACTCATGAACACTGCCTCATAGTCATCCTCTCCAGCGGCCATCATCTCTTCGGCTAGAAGCGTAGAATCTCCTTCATCCACGGCAGGGAAGTAACTAGCCCTGCTCCCTTCGCCTCCACGGTGAGGCTGTTGGCGGCTCCTTCGCTGTGACCTACGACGCTCCAGCTGAGCCTTCTGACGAGACGCTTCAAAGTTCACCATGCTTCTTCGTGTCCGAGCAACTAGGTCCTCAGGGTCACCCTCGGCAACATCTTCGAGACTGCTGCTATTGGGTAGCAATTGCTTCTCCGGTGACCGCGAGAGTGATCGGCCCGAGGAGGCAGCCAAGTCTGGCTCTTCATCTTCAAAAGACGTTACGCGGGAACTCCTAGCCATGGATAACCGGGTTCGCTCTGCGAGAGAGAGCGTATGACGTGGCTTCGATGTTTTCACGGGTGATGGCGACGTAGCACTCATAGATGCAAGTATTTGGTCGGCGAGTTGCTGTGTTGCTGAGACGGGCAATTCTGGAGGGCTTGCAGGAGTCTCGCGGATCGGGGAGGGGCTCGATGAAGGGGTGCTGAATCGACTAGAGTTGGAGAGATTCTGCGGCAGGTGAGGTCTCGATTTCCTTTCGGTATTTTCCTGCAATGTAGCCTGAGAAGGTGTTGGTATTTTATGTCTGTTGGCATCCTCAACAGGGTGCAATGCTGCGACCTCGTCACTTGCGGACTTATCTGGGTAGGGAGCTGCCGCCAGTTCATCTTCTAGCTCGCTTATCTCTGATATGACTTCTTCGACAGCTACTTCTCCTGCAGACAGCGCTGGCGACAGTTGCCGTCTCGGTGCCGTGCCAAGCTGCTGATTTTGTAGAAACGGTTTGGCTTCCCCAGTGTCGATGTTCGCAAGCTCGGATTTGAAGCTGTTAACAAGGTCTGCGTAGTCCCGACTTAATGCGGTTGTCCCGTGATTGATCTGTTTCCGAGGACTCATTCGTCCCGAGTAGAGACTCTCGTGAGCCCCGAAGCCTAAATCCAGGCCTCGTCGTTGGTTTAAATGTGTTGCAGCCTTGTGCGGTGCTTGATCGCCGGCCTGACTAAAATGCTGCTTGTGGAAACTTTCCCATTTGGCCAACCGGTCCTGTTGAGCCTTCACACGATGTTCGAGCTGCTCTAGGAGGCCCCCGCTCTGATCCTCCAGTTCAGCCAAACGTCCAGATTGAACGCGCCTCCACACTCGATCGTATGGACTGGTGAGGAGGCCATCCCTCTGCGCATTCGCGTCTCCACAAACCACTGTCTCTAGCCATCTCTCATTGCCCGACCAGTTATTGCGCACCACCCGCCGGACGTTCAGTCTCACATCATCTGCTATATTGTCACGTTTCGTATGTGACCCCTCGTTCAGAGACTTGATCAGCTCCTGCCGTCTTGCTATGCTTCTGCCCTTCAGAGCCAGCAGATCCGCAAAATCTTCAAACTTGGCGTGAGCCGCCTTCTTCTCCCTCAGCAGGCTTGCCACCGAAGCTTTGTGCGCGAGGACTAAAACGTTGAGCTCCGTTCTTTCGGCGGAGTAGCCACGGTTCTCTAGCGCAATACTCTGAGCCAGAGCAGGATGCCGTTGTTCGTTGAGCTGCTGCTCGGCTACTAGCTTCTTGAGAACGGCGGACGAGAACACGGCCAGGACTTCCTCGAGCCTCTCCCCCTTACACTCGTCCAGCATCGTCTTGCGGACAACGGCATCACGGCCGAGCACGCCCGTCTTCTTGGCCTGTTCGAGGGAGCGGAGCAGCGCGGCGCGTAGATTCAGAGATTGAACTTGATCGAGCGGGGGAAAGAATGGTTGGAGTTTCTGTGCACAATGTGGGTTAGAAGAGCAAGTTTAACAGCAGCTTGAAGAGGGGCAGCACATGCGTTTCTGGCATCCTCAGCATCCCACAAGACAAACAGCTGGTAGAGCGCCCACTCCACGCTCTGAATTCGCTTCCTTTGGCCCTGGGCGGCATCTCTGGCAGAGAAAGTCAAGGAACTGATGCCTGGCCAGTCGGGGAGTAGGTCGAGGTCGAGAAGGCGGAGATTTGTAAGGAATAGAGCGACGTTGGAGGTCGTGCTTAGGGTGGTGGGCGAGGCATTGTTGATAACGTCTAGTTTCGTCGGCGCGCCGGCGACATGCGCACGGGTCGACCTGGTGCCGGAGAGAAGAGAAGAAGAGGACTGGATGGCGGACATGATTCTATCCGAGTCATCTTCTCTTGATTAGGTCCGAGAAGTCGCGGTACAGGGCATCCTGTATGCTAAGAGCGTCGCCAGGTCAGGCCGGTTTCGCTGCCGTCCAAGAATGATCGTCACAAAATTTTAGATGCCGAGTGAGACGCCAGCGGGAACATCATACATGGAGCCAAGTGAGTGTCTCGAGCCCGGGAGCTTGACGTGTTGGGAAGAGGTCGTCGTCGTTGTGAAAAGATTAGAGTTCACTTTTGAAGCAGAGTAAACAAACGGCGGCAGACATTCGAACAGACCCAGCGCCTATAGCCGGCGGTGAGCCCCCCACTGTCTGTCGCGTACCCCACATCACATCAGGAGGGGCAAAGGGCCAGAGAAAGTGCTCCGGCGCTTACCTAGGGTAGGTAGTGACAACTTCATAGCTGACTTCTTTCATACCTAGATACCTAGATACCTAGGTAATGTAATTGAGACGGATCAGGACCATGTTCGGAATGCTCTAGTCAGGCCGGATATTTATCAGCACACAGTGAGCAGTGAGAGAAGCTTGTCAGACCAAATGTAACATTAGATAGGTTCATTCTATAGAAGTACCCCTCTATCCCAAGCTCTAACTGGGGTTTATTTGTTTGTAATAAAAGATGTATAAGTGTCCAGCAAGCTGAATTTGTCCCCGTCTAAAGTGATGATCGTGGATTCGTAATGATGATGAGAAACTCAAGAGTTGACGCCATGATCATATCCCCCCTGCCGTCCCAAGACTCCGTCGTAAATAGGAAGAGACACCATTAATATATTCTTTTGAAGTTGTACAGTAGTCGACTCGCGAAATGTCAAGACGCCTAGTCCAGGCCACCTTGATGTAGCGGATATCATGACTTAGTCGTCCAGCCTATGCCTTGGCGGTCTGGCGTTGGCGGCGGCGACATAGTGTCCCCAGGTGATGAGCTCCTTGGAGCAATCGTCCTGGTCGATGGTGCACTCGATCAGTGTCGGGCCCTCGGTGTTCTCAGCCGACTCTTGGATGGCATCGGCCAGCTCGCCTGCCGTGTTCGCGACAAAGCTGGTAGCCTTGCCGTCGGTGCTGTTGAACGCCTGGACCAATAGGGCGTAGTTCCAGTTCTTGATCTTGTTGTAGGATCCGTCGTGGATCTCAACCTCGATCGTGTAGCCGCGGTTGTTGACCAGGATGATGGTGATGGGCACCTTGTACCGCACCATCTGGCTGACCTCCTGCGCGGTCACCTGGAAGGACCCGTCGCCGACCACGACGATCGTGCGCCGATCCGGATGCCGAAGCGCGTAGCCGAACGCCGCCGGGATGGACCAGCCAATGTGACCCCACTGCATCTCAATCTCGAAGCGGGCGCCGGGCGGCAGCTTGAGCTGGATGCCGTTGAACCACGAATCGCCGGTCTCGACGAACAGTGTCGACTGGGCATTCAGCATATTCTGCATCTGGCGGGAAATCTCTTTTCTCGTCAGAAGATCCTCCTTGGCCGCCGCGTGTACCTGGACCGGGTCGGGTCGGAGCCGGTTGTACTCGATCATGGTGGAGTCGTTGAAGTCCACCTCGCTCGCCAGATGAGCCAGGAACTCGGGGAGCCTGACACGGCTGAAGTGCGCACCGGGGAACGTCACATGGTCCATCTCAGCAACCATGAGCGGGATGTTGGGCAGCGCGGTCCAGCCGACGGTGCTGTAATCGGTAAAGACGGTTCCGACACAAATAATGGCGTCGGCCCAGTGGACAATCGCGTCTGCGGCGTCTGTGGACACTTGGCCCCAGAAGACGCCGACAAACTGCTTGTGATCCTCGGGGAACATACCCTTGGCAGCGGGCTGCACGGCTACCGCACAACCCATGGCGTCGGCGAGTGCGATCAGCTCCTTCTCGGAGGCACAGCGCTTGACCTTTGGGCCAACCAGGATGACGGGCTTTAACTTGCCCTTTAGGTACTCGGCCGCACAGTCTGCCGCGGCTTGCAGCGCCGACTTATCGGAGCTGACCGGCTCAGTGACGGCCGAGATGGGGCCGGGTCGCACGCACTCCGCGCCGGACAGGTTCGTGGGGATCTCAATGTAGCAGGGTTTCCTGGCGAGCAGGGCGTGACGGATGGCACGGTCAATCAGCCTGGGGGCTTCTTGGGCGCGGTTGACGGCAACGGCGCAGCATGTGATCTTCTTGGCCATCTCATACTGGTACGTATAATCAGATGAGCCCAGGGTGTGATGCAGGAGATGGAATTCGCCGGCATCATTTGTGTTTGGTGACCCCGAAATCAGAATCAGGGGCAGGTTCTCGGCATAGGCGCTGCCCGTGCCGTTGAACGCAGAAAGAGCGCCGACGGAGAAGGTGACGACGCAGGCGGACGCGCCGTGTGCGCGGGCGTAGCCTTCAGCGGCCAGCGAGCAGTTGAGCTCATTTGCGCAGCCGATCTCTGTGAGATCCGGGTGTGCGGAGAGCTTGTCAAGCAAGATGAGGTTGTAGTCGCCTGGCACGACGAAGTGGTGGCGCAGACCGATCTGGGCTAACCGCTCGGCCAGGTAGTCGCCCACGGTATACTTTGTTTGGTTGTGAACCACGGTCATCTCAGCGGTAGTGACGCTCTCGCGAGATGATCAAGTGGGAAAAGGGAAGAGGAGAAAGAGGGGAGGTTCGGAGGAGAAGAGGGCGAGGTATGGGAATCAACTGATTCTCTCTAGGGTGTATTTGACTCGAGAGTCAATTCTCAATGGCTTGTACAGGTCGAATGGCTAATGGGAGTTCCCAAGACTTGCTCGGGAGGAGGAGGGAAGGTTCAACGGCGTCTTATTTATTCTCCAGAGTAGGGGAGGAGGGGAGTAGGGACAGCAGCATCCACCACCGCCGCTTTGCTTTGCTTTGCTTCGCTTGCTTCCCTGGACCTGGACCTGGATAGATGGAGCCATGCCATGCCAGGGGATCGCGAAGCGGACCGACAGCTTACCTTATCGGAGGCAGACATTGATCAGAGAAATGTGCTGATGCGTGTTCTGGGGCGCCTCGGGTGGCTGGCCAGACTGGAAATGCCATTGACGGTGGGCAGAGGGGGACGGTTCCGTCGGTCAGTGATCGACTCAGCACCAGTCCAGGGGGTGCCGCGACTCAAGTCGAGAGTCGAGACGAGTCGAGGTACCAGCAGCTGTGTGCCTATGCCCGTCTGGAGCTGTGGCTCAACAGTATTCCCTCGACAGGTGTACCTCCAGTAGGTACATTGCGGTAGGGGAGGCATGTACGTGGGTGGGCTCGTAGGGCTTAGCTCTGATTAGCATCAGGAAAAGCCCATGATGGCCAGCAGAGCGGCAGCTGGCGGTGGTGTGAAAGCGAATGGATACGGGCACGGCGTTTGCATCATCGTCAGGACATCTCCTGAGATGTAAGTCCCTGGTTACCAGCTATCTTTGCCCCTGGCTACCTTACCTCCTTACCTACCGTCGGTATGAGAGACCAAACACAGACAGGGCCGAGCCTCACACAAGAAAAAGGCCGCCGTCCAATCTCGATTGCTCGTCGTAGATAATGGAAATTGAATTCTGCGCCCGCCGTAGTGTGGAATTACGTGTGGAAAGACGCACTATGCATGGCGAAGAGGATCCATCTAGAAGACTGATGGGCGGGCATCGGTTGAGATCACACCACCTTTTGCACCACCTACGGAGCCCGCCTTCGCGGTGCCTCAGTGGGGCCGCCCCCCATCCTCCTACTCGTCTCGTTCCATCCGGACCCGGCCATCTCTGTGCTCCCCTAATGCTAACTTTCCTCCAGCCACCTACCGAGCTGCATGCATCCATGCATCCATGCACGCTGGGAAAAGCTCATGATACCAAGATTTGCAGCCCAAAAAAAAGGTTGGAACGAAAAATTGCGATTGTTGGGTCCAAGAAACCAAGGCCATTTTCTGTGGCTATTCGCAGTAAATCCACAGTTAAGGGGCATGCTCGACGTGAAGCATCGGGGACGAAATTGCATCTCACCGCCGCACAAGAGAGATCAATAGCAAATATTCAAGTATCGACGGGGGACACCGGAGATTCTGAACTGTGTGTTTTGATGTATCTACCTACACTTGATATCCCGGAATGGCGAATCGGCGTGCTTCCCGGCCAGTACAATGCTGTATTGCACACCACGTGTGAATCCTCGTCCAGCATGCCCTCCCTATGTAGTGAATCTAACTTCCCTGACCCCCAAATCCGTGGAGGTAGGTGGGCGTTTTGTTCGGTTCGGAGAATAGTCTAGTCACTCTACCGGATGCCATACCAGTGCACATACAGAGTCATCTAGATGATCATTACTAGACTCTGACATACTTCCCTTCTTGTCTTCCTTCATTCCTTCGTATATTGAGTATTGCTTCGTCTTGCAGCTGTAAAGTGGCCATCTTGATAATGCGAATGCCTGAGAGGATTCACGGCCGGCCCGGTCGAGTCATGGCAGTGCCGTGTCAACGCGGGCCCTCCGCATCCGCCATCCGCCATGTTGCAGCACTCTCACTACTACTGCGTACGAGGCTCCTTGTCTGCTTAGATCTATTTCTTCATTATTACCGGGTTTAGCCTGAGGGCAGCTATCTAGTTGCTGGGTAAGGTCTGAAATGCCTCGAAGCTGCCCGGCCCTAAATTAGTGCACGAAGCTATTTCCGGGACTCTGTCACCTTACCTCCAGTTTTGGAGGCTGCCTCGGACAAGCTCATATCGCTGACAAGATGATCGAAAGCTATCCGCTCGATAGTCTGTGTGCATGGCTCCAGGGGTCATGGTTGCCGTAATAGGTGGTTCGTGTTGTGCATCGCAGACACAGCACGGAATCTGCGCCGTCGTGCGCCCACTGATCGCGTCCACAGCAAACACGCGCCACATTATGTATTTTCTAAATCAACAGCATCAGTGATGCTTGAACACAGTGACAATGTACTTTTGACATGATCTCGTCTAGCTACGTCAAAGTGTAGTGCCAAGAATAACTCAAATGGAAGTACAGCACAATTTGCTCTGCCTTAAAAGACTTGGTCCTCTGAACAAGATGCTATCTTTACTGCAGGCACCAAAAGCAGCCAGATTGAAAACACGAGATCGATTTGGAAGCAGGCACTTCGCCTGCTGGAATGGAGGCCGATAGCTGGACCGAGAAGAAAAAGATGGCTGAATGGCGCAACAAAAGGGCCGGTTTTCACCAGAAGGCCCGCGAACCCCGTTAGCCGTCCATTATTTGTCTGATTTCTGATTGCAGCACTTTCACTGATCTCCGGCCACTTGGCCTAAGCATCATCAGCACTGCCGAGTCTAGCCTTTTTGCCGCCTTGTACCCGGCTGCAACCGCCTCAACGCGCACTCTGCCGCACAGGTACGCTTGAGTTTCCAACATGATAACCCTAAATCACACCATAATGAGCACTTGTTTACTATTACGATTTAAATATTATCAGGTCCGTGTTTAGGCTGGAGAGAGATATAGGATGCTGTTTGTTGGTGCCCATTGCAGCTTGAACTGCCTATCTCAATGCTCGTCAAGGAATGAGACATGTATTCTTCGATGATCGCATCCATTTCGAAATGCAGCTTGTCCAAGCCCCATTGTCCAAGTTTCTTCCAAACAGCTCTAGATGACTATGATCGAATCTGTGCCGAATATATTTTGAGACTTTCTCGAATAATCTGTAAGGATCGGCACATACGGGCACACTCTAGAACAATGACATTGTCGCCAACGAACAAGTTTCGATGCCAATTCCAAGCGTGACGTTTTTGTTCAAATTATATATAAGTAGCGTACATGAACTCCACCACTTCAGTCCGCTTGCCGTAGTGTACCTCTGCCAATACTTGAGATTGAAACTCCACAGAAGTTGATGGCTGGCAAGCAACACTCTGCCTTCGCAGGTGTACATTCAGAACCAGTGAGTGTAATCTATGCAGAGTGTGTGAGATCATCCTCGCATCGCACTGCGGTACGCCTTTCAGCCGACATATCCTATTTGGCTGATCCACGTTGAGGCCGACTGCTGACAACCGAGGCGGTGTGAGGGCTAGAGTATACAATGCCACCGCGGTAATGAATCCGTGCAGCCACTTCGATGATGGGCCAGACCTGAGAGTCTTTTGGAATGCCACCAGGCCCTGCATCGCCTGTACCTCTGGTCTCGGTCGCCTGCCACACAGCTCACCCCTCTTGGGACGTTTCCCCCCAATGCGATGGCCAGAGTGAATACCTCGATAGATATACCTAACCATAATAAGTACGAAAATATATTTCACTGATACTTATAAAGGCAAGGGGAGGCTGAAGCGCAAGTCATTCATATTTTGTTTGGGTCTTCGAAAGAAATCGTAGAAAATGAATAGTAAATATGAAAGGGCCTTGTGTAAAAAGAATAATTCATACACCTGCAAAAGGCTGGATTTTTTTTTTATTCGAAGAAATATCGGTTTACTCTTGCATGTCGAGCTGCCTAGGCGTAGAATTCATGCCCTAACGGAAGATACCTCAAGTATTGATCTCTAATATTTCAATCGTAATTAAACCAACCCAAGGCTATCGAGCCTAATGAAGTTGAAATCCAAGTAGAAGGCTGTCAAAGACAACGACTTCTCAATACACAAAATTTTCTGTCACTTTCTTGATCTTCTACAACATAAGTGAAAGAAAGCATACCTCACAAGTCTTGACCCTATTTAAGCAAACGAACGACTTTGTGACACAAAAAATTGATATAAGATGTCAGATTCAAGTCAGCCACATGCAGACTGCCTATTCGGATAGCCTATGAGTTTGCCACCGTGATTGACAACCTGTCTTTTTCTTAAGAACTTACGGTTGAGTGGTATTTTAGGCTGTTGTTTTTATTGTTAAGATCCCCATTCTTATATGAGACATGTGTGAAAATAGCAAATCTGGCTGAGTCTGAGTGGCGTTGGCTCGAACCAGCGCCTCGCCTTGGCCATTTCAAACGAGGCTTTGCCAAGCTGACATTATTGGATATGTTCAGAGAAGTTGCCGCTGTCTATGCCTTATTACTTACCATTTTCAAGCTTGTAAAGACTCGTCTGTTAAGCGACATGGCTGACAGCTGAGACCTGAAGGGGCCTAGTCTGTGGTTGCAATAGCCTTTACAACTTCAGCTGGTCTTGGCGACGGCTTTTATGGAAAGGAAGGCTCTGTTGGTAGTAACCTGTAAACACCCTTTCACCCCCGAATGCAATTTACCGCGAAATAAAAATCGTGACTGGCAATCTGAGATTGTTGGATGTGCTGGTACGAAAAATCATTTGGGTGGTTACAACTACGATGGGACAACATGACCTGAAATCCCCGGCATACACAGTCACACAAGCAACTCCGTTACGACATAATGAATATAGCATCAATGACAGCTCTTTCGAAGACTACGAGCCCACATACCGGCCAGATGTTCAATCCTATTACGAGCAGAAACCAGCTGGCAGAGAGAGTACCAGGCCCATAAGTGACTGTCCAGAGGAGGCAAGACTAAACTACAAACCATGTCCTTTAAAATGGCCATTTCTGCTTCTTGTCTTGCTTTTTGTTGCTGGGTTGATTGGAGTGGTCGAGTATGCCTGCCGTACTTTGCCAGCCGAGACTGATCGGGGTGTCGTCCCTAATGCAAACTCAGCAACGGCTGCTCGAAGCATGGTACCAAGACACACGCACGCTATGGGACTGGTGAGAGACTTGGAAGCAACTCCAACACCTACATCACCATCCCAGTCAGGTTCAGATTCAGAGTCTTCTTCCACTACGGATCAGAGGGTATGTTGAGAATGCATTCAATGGCATTTCGAAAAGCTAATTGTGCAGGATGCGAGCATAACCTTTGCGGCAACACGACCTCAAAGCGACTACGGAAAGGATGGCGCTGTAACTATAAGCAATACAGAGACTTCAACTCGCGAGCAAGGAGACTATGGAAATGACGGGTCTGCCACCGTAACCCCCACTCTTCCCGCAAGCAATTTTGGAGATCTGGGACCAACGACGATTGACGGAGTCGCGACAACGGTGCTTCCAACATACATACCGGCCAATGTACAAACACTGACCGACTCCCTTGGGAATCCAACTGCCACCGTAGTGAACACTCCTGATCCGATATCTATCCCGACTTCCATTACCTTGACAGACAGTAAAGGTCGACCAACAGCAACTCTTACATCGTCTGTTGTTATTCAGCCAACTACCAGTGTTCTGACAAACTCCCAAGGCATTGCGACTGCAACTTTAACTCAGTATCCTACGATTCCAACACGGCCCCCGTCACAACATCAGAAGAACTCATACTATATATCCAAAGCGGAATATGTTATTGGATTCTTCCTGCCCACCATTTTATCAGTCCTCTTGACTATTCCTATCCGCATGATAGATGTGAGCGCCCATCAAATGCAGCCATTCCACGAACTCACACATTCTTACGGTGCCGATGCTCGCGACAGCCTATGCCAGCATGTGGGAGGCATACACGCCGTTGTCCAGAGCGTGAGGAGCATCTTTGGCGGCAAGGCTCTCATCTTTCTCACCACACTACTGGCTGCCTGCTCAGCCTTGCTAGTTCCATTGAGTAGCGAAGCAGTGGCACTTAAGATTCATGGGAGCTGTACGAATACGAGCTTTAAGGGATGTGCGATGACCCTCGGCGTTTTTCTTTGGCCTGCGCGGGTCACCATGGCAGTCATGGGCTTGATGGGACTCACACTCCTCATAATTCTGTTGTTTCTTCGCAATTGGTCATCTGGGGTGGCGAGCAATCCATGGAGCATTGGGGGCATGGCTGCTTTGTCTACGAACTTAGACCTTCGCGCCCTGTTCTCCACTTTACCAAGCCATGGGAGGGTGAAGCGTGAGGACTTCATACGTGTACTTGAAGGAACGACATTTCGACTAGGCTCCTTCATCAACCAAAATGGCGTCACTGAGTACGGCATCATGATCCTAGGTGATTCTGCTCAGACTGTTCATCAAGGCTTCCCCGTCTCTTCAGCAAGGATACCCCTAGCGGACAGACAAGCTGAAGTTGTCCTGCAGGGCCGGAGTCGAAAGCATCATCAACCCTTTTTCATGCTGAGCATCCTCGGACGCCTGCTGTACATCCTCCTGACCTGTGGGTTGCTAGCGGTCATCCTGTATTACAACAACACCGGGGGCGACACGCCCTTTGAGCGTTTCATGGATAACCAAGGGTTTGGTGTCAGGTTTTTATTCACAACAGTCGGCATAGGGATCACTTTCTTTTGGGGAAGTTTCTTTACGAGTGAGCCACACACCGGTCGTTATAAGCCCTGTTATCTGCAAAACTGACCGCGCTCTAGGTATAGCAATCGTCAGCCCCTACCATCTCCTGTCCGTCTCCCCTCAATATGCGCGCAACTCCATCCTCTTGTCCCCGCCCAGCAACGCCCTCACAGGCTTCTTCAGCGCCATTCGCCGACGCCACTTCTTCATGGCTGTAGTGGCGCTGACCTCGCTCCTGTCAGAGTTCATGCCCATTCTGCTGAACAACATTCCGTTTCGCATCACACAGACCTATGTCACCCATCTCGTCTGTACGTGGCTTGCGGTCGGTATACTGAGCGTGATGCTGCTCGTTGTGCTGGCAAGTTTCCTGATCAAATGGCCACACATGCCGGCCGATATTAGCACTATAGCAGGCAGTATATACTACGTTTTTGACAGCGGAATGCTTTGGTCGTTTGAGGGACTCGGCTCCCTGCGTCAGGAGGAGAGGGACTGGAGGATCAAAGAAATGGGCATGCGATATGCCTTTGGCGAGATGACGGGTGTGACTGGCACGCACAGGATCGGTGTTGATGCCGTTGAGGGGAGGATGCCATGACGGGACTGAGCGGTCATTTTTATCACAATTGATGTGCGTGTTGATGTGTACTTGAGTCTCGAAAATCAATTACACCTGAGCCAACCCCAACTTTTTTCTTCTGACGCCTTGGTGGTGGTGAATCTGTAATCCGTTATGTAACATGATGTCTCATTTAATCTAGTAAGTGCCCCCTGATACAGCCGTGCAATTTCCCTCATAGGAATCTCAAGCTTCCTCGCTCGGCCGTTACCACGATGTTCTCAACAGCACGCTTCAGCGCCCTTGTTTTTCGCCAGATCTCGTCGGTTGCTGTGGCATGCCCCGGTCGGCTTGCCTTGTCCTGGGTGACCATCTCTGTCATGGCTTCGTCCATACGAGCCAACAGATCAACGACCCACACACCTAGGCCGGTCTCACCCTTTCCAGCCGATCCTAATCCTCGCCTCTCAACCTCCCGCTTCCAGGCTTCGACTACAACAAGAATCCATCTCACGACTGTCCGACGTCGTCTTCCCGTGAACGGAGCTTCTTGAGCATCAAATATGTGTTCAAGAACGCGAGTTACCATGGCATGAGAGACGCCTAGCCCAAGGAACAGCACCAAGGGCCATTCTGGGTCGGCTCCGATACTCTCATCTTGTTGATTCGTTACAGCGTATTCGCAGAGAATGGTAAGTAGGGTATCGACTGGGAAGATGAGGCTGTCCAGTGAGGTACGATGGGCAATTGTCTGTATCTGCACAGACACCGCTTCGTATGGTTTGGGCGGCAAAGTGTCGGGAATGCCGACTTCGGCAGTGACAGCACGTCCTGCACGATGGTCCTCCCATGCCTGTTCTCGTTCTACAATATCGTAGTGAGTGTTGTTGATAAGGTTCTTCCAGGTATCCTCGATCACGCGGGGGTTGTGATAATCAGCTGCATGATAGATAAGCAGGCAGAGATCGTAGTAACCAGCTTGGTCGGCATAGTTGTTGAAGAGCTGCCAGCAATTAGCATGTACTGCGATAAGATGTGATAGGAAAGCAACTTACTTCGGTAAGACCCTGGATGGGCCCATCCAGGGCTCTCTCAACTTCCACTTTGCGCTCATCTGGAATTCGTCGATCAGCCAGCAGTCGCTCGAGAAGGTCATCCTGTATGTGTGCAATCTCAAGCAGCTCCGTGACTTCGTGATTGAGCATCTGCTGCTGTTGACGACTCACTCCTGCCGTTGACACGCTTGCGTTGCCCTTGGCGCGACTGAGCAGGGTAATTCGATCCTTGATTCCTATATCAAAATCTGACTTGGCCAAATCAGCCTGGACTTGCGCAGCGTCAAAGAAGCGGCTACGGTGGGTATAGAAGCGGCAGAGTAGATCAGCATGTCGTGCGTCCACCGCTGCCAGCCGCTGCAAGAAAGTGATGACGTGCGGAGACTCGATAGCCAATATACGATCTGTCCAATTCTGGTCGATGTACCATTCATAGAGATCGAAATGAAAGACTTCGTCATCGGACTCGTTGACAACGGCGTAGGCTTCGGATCGCTTTGTGGCTGCGAGTGTCATCTTGCCATCGATCATGTCCGGCTCCAAACTTGAAACTGCGTCCAGCCTCTGCATGACTTCATGAATGAGGTCATAGCATCGTCTCCGCTCATCGAATGCTTTTCTCCGTGGGTCAGAAGCAGGGCGACCATCATTAATCCATGAAAGGGCTGAGTTGCCGCGATCCTTCTCTCGAGCGACAATGAGACACAATTGGATGGCCCCGGCATAATACTTGAGGGCAACATACTGCTCAACGGCGCCCTTGAGGTTCGAAAAGGATAAGCTACCAGCCACACGCTCGAACAATCGCAAGCTCTCGTTGAGTAGTTGGCGGACAATGTTCGGGTTCGCTGCCTGTTCTGATGCTCTCTTTAGCTGCTCCTGTGCCTTGAAAATTACTACATCGTCGGGACTGCAAAAACTGCCGCAACGTCTGCGGAGTGCATCAGCAACAGTCTCTACATTTGATCCACTCTCGATGTTACGATTTACAATCGCCTTCACGAGAAGCTTTGCGAGCTCTTTGCCCGAATCTTGCGAGAATAAATTCTCATAGGTTAGGTGGCGCAAAGCTTGCTGAGAGGTCGGATCGAGGCGCACATAGATGTCAGCAACCCGCTCATCGAACAACATGATCACGAATGAGATCCCTTCTGAGATACTCTCCATGAGCTTCTGTAGTGCATGTAGAGCTTGATGTTCAGCCTGAAGGGCGACCTCTTCCTGACGACTGCCGACCCGTTGCAGGTCTGACGGACCGGACAGGCCCTGAATGATGCCCTTATTCGATTCTAAGAATGACCGCAGGCGTTCCAAGTTTTCTTGCACCGCATTAAGAGTTGGCGTCGGTATGGTAGAGCTCACAACGATCCCGCCCGTGGGGTCTACGCCCTGAGCGATGACTCTTGACTTCCATAATTTTCTGATAAGACGCGTGAGATACAGCGCAAGGGCGTCGTGTCGGGATGAAAGCTTGACTGCATCTGCCGTGATCTGGGTGCCATCCGTCTCTGAGACAGTAGGCTGTCCGCCAAAGTCAACGAATGCTGCCTTTGCTCTGTCCTCTGTGCCCTGATCGGTAGCCCGTCCTGTGCCGGTTCGAAAATCACTGCCCTGCCCACATGCCACTGCCAGGGCCGCAGACACAGTCTCGACGCGTCCATACAAGGATATGAACCTTCGCATCTCACGCTCGAGGCCCTCTTCGCCAACAGCAGCCCGGACAACAGCCGCAAAGATGTCAACTAGTCTTCTCCTTCGGATGACGTGGACTCCACTGTTTGTCATCACGGCGAACTCGCTTGCCGGACCCTCGAACTGTACGGCAAGCTCGTTACCAAAGCCCATAGGCTGCCCGGCTGCGGCAAACGGCTTGGTTAGCAATCCGACACCAACAGATCTAGTGTTTTCGCCGAGATTGATCCAATTTGCATGCTCGTAGTACTTGAGGGCAGATGCCGGACCCGAGACCTTGATGCGACCTGTTTCTGGCGCTGAAACGAATAGGAGGTCCATATTGGGATTTTCCATGTTCTTGGTAACAAAATCGAAGAAGTAGCCGGGAGCAAAGCGTTGTCCAAACTTGCTACAGTCCAGAGAACGAGACTGCAGATCAACAATATCACCAGTGCTTTGTCGTGATGATCGCGGATCTGAGCCCAGCTGATCCTTGGGCGGAAATTTGACGAATTGTACTTGCATGCTTTGAGGCGCGAGATTCGCCGAAGCCGCCATCATGTAGGAGGCAGAGCTCGTTGCGCTGAGGAATATGCGGCAACCAGTGTCGGTCAGAGCCATTAGATGCAACTTGGATGCTTCGCGCGCGGAAATGGGACTGATGCTGACGATATTCATCCGGTCAGTCAATAGAGGAGAGGAGGGACTCATGTGGGTAATATCTCGCAAGCAACCCATCTTATCCTTTTCAATCACCTTGGTGAGCTTGTCGGGGCCGTCCATATGGTATGTTCGAATGGTGGACCTGCTTGATAGGGTGTAGAGGAGGTTGCGTGTATCATCAATCACAATGTCGATGAGATGTTCGTGTTGTCTCTGCGACCAGAAATCAATGGGACCTGGTAGGCTGGGGACAACGGATGACCACCCCGGGTGGGTGTGATTGATCTTGCCGCAGCGACTTGAGAACCACTTCTCCTCCTGCTGGTAGTATAGCTCGTAGACATCTGTGTCGTTCTGACCGCCGAAGAAAATCCGTCCATTAGCCGACCCGGCAACAATGCTGACGTCGCTACTGCCCTTATGCAGTGCCATCTTTGTCTGGTACAGCTCAATTGTCTTGGCGCCGGAAGGAGTCGACGTTGCAGAGATGCCGAGTAGGATGAGGTCGGACGAGGTAGCAAGCGCGAGGATATGGGTGATGGACTTGACGAAGACGCCGGGCTTTGGAGCAACCAGAGCAACACCAGTAATGCTATGCGGCTGGTCCTCGAAGCCGACGAGGTCAGGGTTGGGATGTGTGTAGTCCCACAGGAAGAGACAATTGTCGATGGTGATCCAGGCGTGGTTGATCTCGGTGAACAGGCCCATGTTGGTGGAGACCTGACTGTCGTTATACAGCTCGAAGACTCGGTCAGGAATCGGATACATTTGTACTTTATGGAAAGGCGCCCACGAGGAATCGGCGTGTTGGAGGTCATAATCGGACGAGGTACCAGCTATTGGCGCCACAGGTCAGCACGAAATATGTTCGAGGTGAGTGGAGGGTGAAAGGGGAGGGTGGAAGAAAGCTCACGTTTGCAGTAAGAATCGAGGTCTGGATAGCTCTCATCTAGTTGTAGAACCTGATTGACGGCTTTGGCCGCGCGGAGGACAGGAGGTTGAGGGGCGGTGCTCTCGAGCGGCTGCTGGCTTGAAGGTAGGATGTTATGCTGAAGGCTCGTACTCGATGTGCTGGGGACGAGGCCCGTGGAGCCATGAGAAGGACCGAAGCCCTGAGAGCCTCCTGGAACAGGAGTAGCAGAGGCAGAGGTCATACTCATGCTCGTGCTTGTGGGTGTGGTCATGGGGAAAAGCTGCCGTCGAACAGGATCGTTGCCCGGGGCTGGTGTCTGGAAAAAGGCCCCAGGGACCTGGCGCATCGGGGTCTGAGTTGCCATGTTGACCGGCGCGTGTGATTCTGAGCGAGACTGTCTCGAAGTTGCTGCTCCAAGACTGAGATTTCTGAGAAGCAGGTGAGAGGGCACGAGTGGTTTGTCTTGGGGCGCGCCGCGGCTCTCGAAGTCGGCTGTCCCCCAGTGCGCGTTCGCGGCGGCCGATGATGGCAGAGGACCCAAGCTTACTACCGAACCATCAAAGGAAGACGATCGGGTGAAGATAGACGTAATGCCCGTCGGCAGTAGTCGCTGAGGTTGAGGCCGATTATGAATGTCGTCGTGATGCGAGAAACGTTAGGTGGAGGTTGAGTTGAGGCTACCACAGGTTGGCAGGTAGTCTGGAGTAGAGCTCCTGCTGGGGCTGGTAAACACAATTTCTTTGCAGGGATTGAATGGGATTTGGCCCAGCCTACCTAAGTAGTGTGTGGGAGGTACGTACCACCTACACCTACCTAGGTACCTTAGGTAGGTAGCTGGCCGAGCTCGCCTCTGCAAAATGGCCTATCTTTTAAGCGCCACCTGGTGAATGCTGGTACTGTACCTTATCTGGGATATTAGCGCAAGGTACCCGTCTAGCCCGCCCGGGGATTTTTTTTTCTGGATAACGCGACGTGGGCTGCACAGATGCTTGCTTTTCTCCAAGTAGGCTGCTTGAACAGTGTCTATATAATCCAGGAGACCTTCTTCTGAATGACTCTGGTCAATGGCCCTATATAAGCAGCGTTTCCGGGCATTTACCTTAGTTGAAGCGTAATAGAAACCAAAAACTCAAGCTCAAGCCCCGTCTCTTTGTCCTGGATCATGTAGGTATGGATCACGAAGAGGTAACATTACAACGTATTCATGCATTGGTGATGGTTAGGCAACATGACATGACATATTACTTAGACTACCATTATCGACGCCAATCTCGGGCCTCAATAGCTTCCTTCAAACGATTCGCTCTGTCCTTCTAATGATATGAACCTGTATACGACTCTAACCACCACAACCCAGGCCTACAAGCACTATTTCCAATGCCACTAGGACTACAGATCCCCCAGTCGCATATCAGCATATACGCTTGGTTGTCCTGCCCTTCATATGGTGGATTGCCCATCAAACCCACCATCTTCCCACTGGCCTTCCCTACGTGAGCGCATCGTCAATGATATTGACAGCGGCCACCCCCGGCTTACAGAAACCGCAGACATAGAGTCCTTGCCAGCCTCTTTCCCGGGGCTTCAAGCCTTCTTTGCCTCGCGTGCTGCTTTCCTCAGAGCACGGTTCCGGATGTCAATGTGCATCTTCAGGTTCCACCAGATGACAACGCGGCTGCCCAAGCCAAGAACCTTCTCCACCCACCACTGCATGATAGCGTGCGACCACCACGGGGTGTAGGAGTAGGCGAGATCCTGGGTGCCTCCGCGGCCGACCTTTGCGAGGGCGGCCTTGACAAAGGGTCGGGCAGGCGGAATCAGTAGGCTCGGACGGCGGATCTTGCTCATGGCTCCGACCACAAGGTAGCTGAGGCAGAGATAGACATCCACGTTGCTGGACCTGAGCTCTTCTGCCAGGGCCGAGCTCCAGTGCTGTAGGAAGGCCTTGCTGGCGCTGTAGGTGGCCAAATACGGGGTCGGTGTCCATCCGCCGAAGGAGCCCATGGTGAGGATGAGGCCGCGTTTGCGTTGGGCCATAGCCGGCGCCACCACCTGGGTGGTCTTGAGGGTCCCCAGGCAGTTGATCTTGACGATGGTCTCCAGCTCCTCCTTGTCGGTCTGCAGGAAGGGGACGGGGATGCTGTGGCTAGAGCCAACGTTGTTGATGAGAATGCCGACGTCGAGCCCGTCGATCAGTTGTGCTAGCTTCTGGTAGTCGGCGTCGTTATTCTGTGTAAAGTCCATGGCGAGAATCTTGGTCTGGACGCCGGCGTACTTGGCCTCGAGGTCCTGGGCGAGAGTTTCGAGCTTGGACTGGGTACGAGAGACGAGAACGACGTTGAAGCCCTTGGCGGCGAGCTGGGTTGCGTACTCCTTTCCGAGGCCATCTGACGCGCCGGTCACCACAGCCCAGGTCCCTTTCTTGCCGTACTTGCGCAGCTATAAGCACAATTGGTGTTAGCGAAGCGCCGAGAGAGCAATGGGTCTAATCGCAGGCGACGTACATTGGTGCCACTGAGGATGAAGATGTCGAGGAGCAGACGGGTGTAGCTCAAGAGCTTGCTGGAGACGTAGAGAGCGCCAATGCCTGCAAATGCCCATTGGACGGGCGCGGGGATGGACCCGAGGGTCTCAAAGAGGCCTGCCATTGGTGATGATGCCTGCCAATGCTCTATACGGGCGGGAGATGAGGTGTAGCAGCTGTTTCGATTAATGACTTGTCGATGGGGAGGAGGGAGAAGTTATGTAGGGGAGAGATAGGCACGGCAGCCGGGTTTGCTAAACTGTTGCTTACCTACAGTAGTACCTGTGGACAGGACACGCCTCAACAAAATATTGAAAAGCTGCAGAGCAGACCTCGGGAGTGCCTACAATGCAAGTACCTGTAAAATTCATTGGACATTGCGCATCCAGGGTGGGGACCTCCCTGAAATCGGCAGTACGAGAGAGAGAGCGCGTTGGCCTTACCTTACTATGTACTACGTAGCGTATGCAGGCCAGCAATGATCTACCCACAGACAGACAGACAGACATACCTACCTTACCTACCTAGTAGGTACCTATGTCGGTACCTTACCCAACCTCAGCTCCTCAGATACCTCCTTACCTCCTCTCGAGCTCCTGTCATCAAGCCGAACCAATTCCCTAACTTCTTCCGATTCCCTCTCTTCTTGCTCATGCTGAGGTTCGGAGAAGACAGCAGGTGCCCATTCACGATTCAGCACGAGAGACGCAGTTTACCTATGCCGTTCTCAGGTTAGGTATTAAGGTTCCCATGTAACTCTTGCCTACCTACCTACCTAGGTACACAGTAGGTACTTAGGTAGGTACGTACCTTATAGACCCCGTTTCCCAACTCATACCAGGTATCCGAGATTTCTAGGATCAGCCAAATTTTTTTGACGTCCCTAATAATTGAAATAGCCTGAGGATTCCCATCTCTCTGACAAGGAAGCTTAGACCAAATAGACGGTGGGATGGGTACCTAGGTAGGTATTTACGGCGTCTTAGCCGTAGTACCGCACCGCTTGAGCTTTGGCCAGCTGTGGCCAGCTGTGGCTCGTGGTGTGGCATGTTTTGTGGTGG